ACCTATGTAACTTTGTTCTCACCCACAATTATTTCCGGTTTGAGAACAACTTATACCTCCAGATCAGCGGCACAGCCATGGGTACACGCATGGCCCCACAGTATGCTAACATCTTTATGGCTGACCTAGAACAACGTTTCCTCAACTCCCGTCCCCTTTCACCCCTCCTCTACCTACGGTACATCGATGACATCTTTATGATCTGGACACATGGCCAAGAAACACTGGAGATATTCCACAGAGATTTCAACAACCTACACCCCACCATCAACCTCAGCCTGGACCATTCTACACGAGAGATCCACTTCCTGGACACCACCGTACAAATCAACAATGGAAAATTAGACACCACTCTCTACAGAAAACCCACTGATTCATACAGTTACCTACATGCATCCAGCTCCCATCCAGAACACACCACACGATCCATCGTCTATAGCCAAGCCCTTCGATACAACCGCATCTGCTCTAACCCCACTGACAGAGACCAGAAGCTTCAGGATCTCTACCAAGCATTTATAAATCTCAACTACCCACCCAGAGAAACAAAAAAGCAAATTGAAAGAGCCAGACGAATACCTAGAAACCATCTACTTCAAGACAGACCCAAGAAAACCAACAATAGAACACCACTTGTCATCACCTACAACCCCCAACTTAAACCTGTCCAACACATTATCAAGAAACTACAGCCTATATTGGAACAGGATACCATACTCAAAGAGGCTCTGGGAGACAGACCCATAGTCTCCTATAGACAACCACCTAACCTCAAGATGATTCTTACCAACCACCACAGGACATACCACACTAATACCAACCCTGGTACCTTCCCTTGCAACAAACCCCGTTGCCAGCTTTGTCCACATATTCATTCTGCTGATACCATTATTGGACCTAACCAAGTGAGTTATAAGATCAAGAACACATATTCCTGCGCATCCAGAAATATAATCTACGCTATCATGTGCCGAAAGTGTCCGTCTGCTATGTACATTGGACAAACATCTCAGACACTTCGCCAAAGGATTAATGCCCACAAAACAGATATTAGACAAGATCACAAAGAGAAAACAGTTTCTTGCCACTTTAACCAGAAAGGACACTCTCTAAATGACTTAGCCACCTGCATTCTGCTACAAAGACCTTTTACATCTGCACTTGAAAGGGAATCCTCTGAACTGTCATTCATGTTAAAATTCGACACTTACCACCAGGGACTTAACAAGTCTTTGAACTTTCTCACCCATTATCAAGACAGTTTCCCCAATTATCACCTGTAATACCATTAACTCACAAACATCCCACTCTCCCTACCTTTAATATCAGCAATTCACAGACACTTACCTTCCTTCCTCCCCCTTCCCACCCCCCCGCATCCTCCTTCTGTTCTGCAATGTGAATTGTCCTTTTCATATTTGTTCATTTTTTAAATTGTATCCTTTGGTATATATGGTTGTGACTACTTTCTTCCACTATTTGATCTGAGGAAGTGGGTCTGGCCCACGAAAGCTCATCATCTAATAAACCATCTTGTTAGTCTTTAAAGTGCTACATTGTCCTGCATTTTGCTTTATATCCACCAGCATGGAGCCTAATCCTGTTTGTCACTGAAGCCCAATTATTCCAACGTCTGTTGAGTTAGGAACCAAACTACCTTTGGGGTATGGGCCACAGTGACCCCAGATCCCTTTGAGATCAGTTGTAGATTGAATGCTTAACACCCCAGTTGTGGGGTTCATCATTTCACAAGACCAGGGCCTACTCTAATAAACCAGGGATTTGGACAGTAGAGTCCCAAACACAGCAAAATGAGGTGGCATCGGAGTGGGGTGCATCTGCATAAAAAACACTAAAAAGCTGAATTCCCTCTTCCTTCATATGAGCTGCCTTGATATTCCAAGAGCCTCTTTGATGTTCCATCAGCCACAACTCCTAATATTGCTTTGATGGACTCCGACAAAGAGATCAAGGAATCCTGTAGTATTACTATGTATTTTCACTTTCCTCTCCCCGGCTCCATTGGTCCAACCTGTCTAGTTTTTATAGGCCGTGGTTTTCACTCTTCCCACTCAAGGATAACACATAAACCCTCCTGGCAGATGTGTGTTTGAATGATAAGAGTGACTGAATCCCCTTTGGTGCCCACTAAACTTCAAGTTGGGTTAGAGGTTTCTACACACAGAAGAACAAAGATTAGCTAATTGTGATGCTCTGGGTTCTGGGTTTAGTCACTGAGAGAGATTCCATCGACCACCTGTGTGAATCAGATAATATGGATAAAGCTTCTAAGAAGACACCAATAAAGACACCTGCGGGAGGCTTACAGTACTAGAACGAGTCTGGCAGCTGAGGCTCTGCTTGAAGCAAGAATTACCCTTTTCCAAAAAATATGCATTTCCCAACTGTTTTACCTCCAAAACCAGCATCTGACAATCTAGGAGCTATAGAGAATTTCATTCGCTCTGCAGTTTGTGGTGGATGCGGCCACACTCAAGACGTTCTTATGTCATTTACCGATTGGCTCATTAATCGGAACAGGCAAGGCGGACATTGCTTAGCAGGGCCGGCTTTAGGAAGCGCGGGGCCCAATTCAAACCGCTTCGACGGGGCCCCGGCAGCCAGGATTTTTTGTTGACCAAAAAAAAAAACCCCAAACAAAAACCACAGCACACACAAAAAAAGTCACAGCCCCTTTGAATCCCCAGCTACAGGGCAGAGTCCCGCCATCCAACAAAACCCAGGGGCCAACTCACCCCTACTGCGCCACACAGAAGCCGCTGCGCTCCTGTGGGGCCGACGCCCCCTCCCGCAGCGTGCCCGGCACGCCAGCACACTTCCGGATTTAGGGCACGGGGTCCTGTTAGGCGCAGGGCCCGATTCCAGGGAATCAGGCGAATCGGCCTAAAGCCGGCCCTGTTGCTTACGATGGTTGGTGGCTGCTTTAGCGGGTAGAAATCTGAAAGGGGGTTGAAAAATCTCACACACAAATCTAGGCTAATCCCACTTCTTTGTCACCTCCTGAGCTTCATTAATGTCAGTGGGCTAAGCATGGATGAATTCAGGGTGTGTCTCTCTTCCCTGTCTGGCCTGGGGCTATTGGCATAAAACTGCTCACCAGACAAACGTAAAAATAAACTTCAATTGAACTCTAAATGTTTCCTTTTATTTTTTCCTCTTCTTATTTGTGAGTAATCTCACCTCAAGCAAGGGAGGAAAGATATACACACCGTCAATCAGGGTTGTTTGGATAATGCTGTGTACTGACCTGCCAACCTACTCTGTATCCCAGCTCCAGTTTAGGGTTAAAAGTATTTAAAAATGCTACAAAATGTTGCTATTCTCCCATTGCTGTTACAATGGGTGCATTGGCAATACAGTGCGGGAGATTCCATTATATTCCAACAATTCAAAAAATCAGTTTTAGGAAAACATCTGGAGGGTCTTAAAGATTCAAAAGAGATTTTTCTTGCATTAACTTGTTTTTTTCAGCATCCATTCAGAAGTTTAGGGCTTGATCCTGCAAACACTATCACTTTGCTTTAAGCACACAAGTCTTGCTACTTATTTTAACAGGAGCACCGTGAGTAGAGTTAATTGCTTATATAAGTACTTTCAGGCTCAGGGCTTTACACGGCAGAATAGAGAATGCTTATTTGCACAAGTCCTTCCTGCAGCCGCTAATGGTGATTTCAAAGCAAAGAATAATCACCCTTGTGCAGGGGACATAGGTGGTGAGATTGTCACTCTCGAATTCTGGAGCGGCGCCTGTGCTGGCCCACCTAAGTACATGGTTTGGGTCAGTGTTTGGGGCTATGGCTATGTTGCGGCGGGTGGGTTTCTGTAGGGATGCCGTTCTGGGCCCTAGGACTGTGCAACCATAGGCAGGAAGCCCTTCTGAGTGCGGGACAGTCGGGGGAGATGGGTCACTGCTATCCAGGTGGGTGGGTATGTGGTACAGGGCGGGAGGGCCTGTTTCCTGATCGCCTAGTACCGATCCAGAGCCCAGCTCCAGGGGGAGGTTGCCAGGAACCACAGCTCGGTCTCTGGCCCAGCTGGGCAGGGGCGCTGGAGCAGGTCTGGACACAGCTCCCGGCTGCTGGGGTCTCTCCTGGGCTGATTGG